GTTCAAATGGACTTGAACATATTGTTTTCGGAGTCCTGATATTAGCTAAAGGATCAGGAAGTACTTGCTGCTTCCCCCACTCAGCGGTTGAGAACGCCCTTGACCGTGTCTCCCGCATTTCAAACCGCAACTCATCCCTCACACCCCGTCCCCACATTAACAACCAAAAAAGAATCCCCCTCGTCCTCACGTACCACCCCACCAACCTCCGGATCCAATGCATCATCCTCCGACACTTCCGCCATCTGCAATCCGACTCCACCACCAAAGACATTTTTCCCTCCCCACCCTTATCTGCTTTCCGGAAGGACCACTCTCTCCGTGACTCCCTTGTCCGCTCCACACTCCCCTCCAGCCCCACCACACCCGGCACTTTTCCCTGCAACCGCAGGAAGTGCTACACCTGCCCCCACACCTCCTCCCTCATCCCCATCCCAGGCCCCAAGAAGACTTTCCACATCAAGCAGATGTTCACCTGCACATCTGCTAATGTGGTATACTGCATCCGCTGTACCCGTTGTGGCCTCCTCTACATCGGGGAAACCAAGCGGAGGCTCCAGGACCGCTTTGCAGAACACCTACGCTCGGTTCGCACTAAACAACTGCACCTCCGAGTCGCGAACCATTTCAACTCTCCCTCCCATTCCTCAGACGACATGTCCATCCTGGGCCTCCTGCGGTACCACAACGATGCCACCCGAAGGTTGCAGGAACAGCAACTCCTATTCCGTTTGGGAATCCTGCAGCCCAATGGTATCAATGTGGATTTCACAAGCTTCAAAGTCTCCTCTCCCCCTACCGCATCCCAAAACCAGCCCAGCTCATCCACGCCTCCCTAACCTGTTCTTCCTCCCACCTATCCCCTCCTCCCACCTCAAGCCCCACCCCCATTTCCTACCTACTAACCTCATACTGCCCCCTTGACCTGTCCGTCCTCCCTGGACTGACCTATCTCCTCCCTACCTACACTCACTTTTACTGGCTCCATCCCCGCCTCTTCGACCTGTCTGTTTCCCCTCCACCTATCTTCTCCTCTATCCATCTTCTATCCGCCTCCCCCTCTCTCCCTATTTATTTCAAAACCCCCTTCCCCTCCCCCATTTCTGATGAAGGGTCTAGGCCCGAAACGTCAGCCTTCCTGCTCCTACGATGCTGCTTGGCCTGCTGTGTTCATCTAGCTCTGCGCCTTGTTCTATCAGATTCTCCAGCATCTGCAGTTCCTACTATCTCTGCCTGTTGCATAATCTAGCTTTCCCAGTTATGCCCTATAACCAAAAACAGATCACTAACCCCACTGCTGTTTGTAGATATATTTATAGCTAGTATGTTTGTCAACAACAGCAGCAAATGCACTTCAAATGATTAAATAGATATACATTAAAATCACTAAAGAATTTTCCCTTTAAAATTTAAATGATCTTTTCACTGTTCTTAGCATTTTTAGAAGCCAGGTATTAACAACTGGCCTTTGTCGACATGAATCATTCAAAGAACCTCAATAACTCCTTTCCAAATTATTACAATATTTCACATACATGGGTACATCTATTTTTTGTTCCTGTAACTTCCAGCAGGAACTTCCAAAAGTGGCAAGACCAGACAGCAAATGGAGAATTCTTGCCCACGTCCGCTTAAGTCTGGGATCACTAAGAAATACAAATCTTGTTTAACAACGAAGCCATGGGCTAGAAATATGTCCATGATCTTGCAAATGACAACTGAAACAACTCTCTATTAAGATGCAATGGTAAATATAGTGCACATTTATAGAGGGATGAGTAAGCAACACACATTTATGCAAATAAGTGAATCAAGACAGCAAATAGAAACTTCGTTTACACACTGAATTATTCCCTTATACATTAAGCCTATCAGTAAATGCATTGATATGCACTTAGGTGTCATAACGTACATTATAGTTTACTGAAAAAGTGCATTTGCCAAGTAGCTGCTTCTCAGCTGACAGACAAGATGAAAAGCCTCTGTTATAAACTTCTTTGATTCTACATCCATTGGAAGTTCATAAAAATC